AGTAATTTTATTCATGAGCAACAACCCTTTTACAGGCAAAACAGTAACAAAATATTAACAAAAAATACCAAAAAATCAGGGATCTTATCAGCACAATCCCACGACAACAGACTATTGGAAATCACAACTACTTTGATTAGGACTTAGTCAACACAACTTAAAAATAACAATTTACAAGTAAAAAACTTCTAACAATATAGACATTGGGAAGGTTATTTACCCAATTTTGTGTAATTGACTAGGTCAAGGCCAAATGACAATGTGATGGAAGATATAAAGATTCAGAATAAACCGTGTTATAAGAAGCAATGAAAAATAATACAACACTATCTTACTGGGTGAATCAACATATCCAAGAAATTTTGGCTAACCTGCAGACAGTAGCTGTTACATGTTATTACATTCAACAGGAACCAAAACCATAAATGCCCTACCAATATATTCATAGCAAAATTCGATCACGAGTTTTGCTTGTACACTCTGCAAAATAGTCATGCAAGAATTTGATTGAACATGCACCAAGCTAGATCAAATTATTTTTTCGGATAAATTTTATCATCAGGTCCAATGTCTCGTGATCCTGTGTTAACGTAAGGTCCTCGAAATGTAGCTTGAGGCGGAAGCGGCTTTGAAGAATCTATCACCGGACTTCTCGAGGATTTGGTCCTGAAAAACAACACGTTAGGATTGAATTACAAAACTACCCCTAGTTGTATCCTAATTGCCAAAAATAATATTATCTTTCAGAATCGGAAATGTTTCCCCTCTGTCCATACTCGAGGAATCTAATTTTGATAAAATAGCTGATCACTTCTGTAGTTTTATTGAGTTCAAAGGGGTATTGTGCACAAATAACATGAGACAAAGAAAATCATCTGGAGTTTAAACAAGTTTTACAAAATATAATATTGACAAAGTTCACTTACGCCATATAAAATGGAAATGCCAATCCTGCTGATGCAAAAACTAATAAGCCAGCAGCAACAATGAAATTACGCTTGCGGGACATCAAGATGTGGTAATAGGGATCGACAAAAAATCTAAAACAAAACAAAGAAGATTTATTTTTTTTTTAAAAAAAAAAAACTTAGAACTCAATAGGCAATGAATAAAGGCTCATTGTGATAAGTTGCATTCGCATAACTGTTTGATCATATCCGTAAGCTTGATGATGACGAACAATTACTTGAGTTGTGAGGCATGGAAATCAAGCATTTTCCATCAGATTAATTGAACATCAGTAATGCAGACAAAAAAGGCATTAGTTTACACATACCTTGTGAGTTAGGACTTGACTCCATACAAAGAATATAACATAGTAGATGCAACAATTAGAATAAGGAAGTGGCTTTTGAATCTATGATGATTTCGTCGAGCTGGAAATAAGTACATTTTAGTTACTATGTTCATGAATGTTCTTCCTCCATGTCTCGAGCAAAAGCTCGGGACAACAGAAAGAAACCCCAAAAAATGGAAAAATAAATAAATAAATCGATAAATAGATATTCAGGTTTTCATCACTTTGGATTATATGATGTTTCCGAAATTTAGCTGATCGACTTCAAATAAATCACCTCAAACATAGGAAAAAGCTGCAAATGTATACCAACTGAAACAATACATCTGAATGAAGAAATTTAAAAGAATAAAGATTTTAGTTGTGTGTTTTTTGTCTAAAAAGCTGGAAATTTAGTGACATGTAAGAAAACAAATGGGTGATTAGGCAAAACTTGGCCAGCTACAGTTTATAAATTTTAGGCTTGATCAACACATAGCTAGCATTACTTTCAACGATTTGCGTTTTCGTGAAGTCTTCACAACAAGCGAATGAAAATTGAAACCTAAAACAAGTTGTGTTGAGAACGGGAGAGACTAACAAATTATACAGACATCACAATCCAGATACCTTTAATATTTATTTCCAATATTCTATCCAGAGCTGTGCTACGTAGTAAAGAAAAGATCCGCTATGATATTTCCAAAAGATTAAATGAATTCCTAAAAAATGTTAAAAAGAAAAAAAAAAAATCAGAGCACACAAAAGGATATTACCATGATAAAATAATGAAGAAGTAAATACTGGTTACAAAAAGCTAAATGTGATATAGATTCAACGAGAAATTCCTGAAGCAAACTAAAATCTGGAAGGGGGACTCACAGCTTGAGACTCGTCTTCAACCGCCGTGTTCGCCGCCGCCGTGGAGCTGTGAATTTAGCTATTAGGGTCGCTACTGATAACTCTCTCTGGGCCTTTTGTGCCCGTAAACTGAGGTGGAATGGGCCTGAAAAATAATTTTGTATTCGGTTCGAGGAATCTATATATATATAATAAGAATTAACATTTTTCAAATATAGTAAGCAAAAAAATAGGGAATATTAATTGCATTCCATTTTTGGTATGTTTTTTTAATTTTTTTAATAAAAAATCAAGTAGCATTTAATGTTAGCACAAATCATGGGATTTGTTATATAGATACATATTTGAATTTCAAACTTCAAACAAAACATGCCTAAATGTATTTTGAATTTTTTAGGGAAAAAAATTAACAAACACGTTAAAGATGTCATACAATACATATATTTATATATATTATCTTAACATATAGGTTAATTAGTTTCATATCTAAATAATATATATTTAAACAATATATAAACAAATATAGTAATTTATCTTACAATACAGACAAATATATAAACAATATATTTATATACAAATATAATAAACAAATATAATAAACAATACAAACAAATATACAAACAATATATAAACAAATATAAGAACTTGTCACGTGTATATTTCGTACAATACATATATTTGTATATATTATCTTAACATATAAGTTAATTAGTTTCATATCTAAACAATATATATTTTAGGAACTTAAAGATTCATAACATTACTGACGTCATGTATATTTATAATATATTGTCACGTATATTTTACTACAATTGGTAACTTTTTTAAAATTATTTGAATAACTGGAGGTTGATTTGTAATTTGAATTTCAAATTCATTCAAACATTTAAAGGAAAATATCATAAGCAGATTTTTTTAATACATTTTATTTTATCTCAACTTACATATAATCACGTTCCTACCTAACACTAAATTTGCTTATATCTTTTTAAATTAATTACATCACTAAATAATATTAATATATATTACATATTTATCATTATATAACAAATATATTACTTCTACAAGTGTTATAAATAATAATGACATTATATGATAATAGATATTTTGATAGATTAATAATTGAGTATTATGATGAACCAAAATATGTAAAATTATTATTATTTTGTATTAAAAAATAAATATATATGTTAAAATATTATTTATAATAATATATTGGTTCATCATGCTATTACAATAAATTTTATAATAAAATAATATGAGTATTATACGAGGAACAAGATTACGTAAAATTGTTATTTTTCTTATACTAAGGAATAAATATATATAATGAAATTAAATTTATATTATTATAAACATGTGAGCGAGATAATCTATTAATTAATTTACGGTCTAGCGCTACCACTACCAGGCTCAGGTTTAATGTCTCGACAAAAAAGATGACGTTGATGAAATAGGTAAAAAAATAGATGATCAAACTCTATTACTTTTTTAGGCCTTAACTGACAAGCCCTATTGTCCACTCATTTAATATATCCCGTGAATCACATGAGCTACTTAACAGACAAACTCTGCGGAAATGACTCATTTAATATTTATGTCCCGTGCATCGCACGGGCTACGTACTAGTTGGAGAGTAAACCATTTAGTCCACCTTTGTTTTAAAGACTATACTACTACAATACTCGTGGTGTTGAATTAGAAATTTTTTGTAAAAAATATTAAATTTTTTATTTTTTTAAAATATAAAATAATATAATTCATTCACTTGTCAAAATTAAATTTAANTTATTTTCCGAAACGATAGATATTGTATAACAAACTCAACAAACAATGTTCAGTACAAATCAACTGTCTAGAATTAAACCGAAAGAGAAACTGGCAAGCCATAAAAAATGATGGCTTAGAACCGCATAGGCTTACAAAGCCTTACACCACTCAACCTAACTGAAAACCAAAGAAATAAAATCTAAGACAAGTGCTCCACCACTGCATAAGCCTAGCAAGAGCAGCTTGCTTATAAAAGTACAATTCTAGCAACAACATCGAAAGAACAAACCACAAGAAAAACCAAAGAGACTAAAATTGTTACATTGACATACAAACAAGCAGCCAACAGTTACTGACATTTCTTCTTATTTGCTTCCTGGAAATCCAACCAATCTGATGTAGCAGCCTTTAAGACAATATGAGCTGGGATTTGAAGTTGCTGAAGCACCCATGCATTCCGGGTCTTCCAGAGCCACCATAGTAGGTATGTGGTCAGTTGTATTCTGTGCTTAGCCACTGTGGAATGATCTAGAAGACATATCTGGTGCCACCATTGTCTGAATGAGTGATGAAGATGAGTCAGTGCATCCCATGAGACAGGTGCAATCTCCCATATTCCGCCAGCCCTAGGACATGAAAAGAAAACATGCTCAATAGTTTCCACTTCTGTGCCACAACATCTACAAATGTTATCTATGTTCATTCCTTTTTCCTGCAACTTAGCAAATACTGGCAAGGTTCCTGATATCATATATGAAAAATAAATACAAACAAAAAAGTCATAAAATCTTAAAATAAGAAAAAGAAACATTTATAAAAACCAATGAATGAGTTATATAAGAAAATGAAATGTGATGTATGGTAATGTAGGAAAATGAAATATAAAATAGTTTATGGTAAGTAATTTTAGAAGTAAAGAAGAAAAAAATCAATCATGGATTTAGTGTGATAAAAAATATTAATTTATATCAAAGCCTAACTCCAAAGCATGGTTTTTTGCCAAATGGGATTTCGAGGCATGAGAGTTTGCCACGTAGACTCGGCGCATTCTGAAATTATATATAGAGGGAATTTATCAAATTGACTAAATACACACATACTATATTGTCTGTTTACCAATTATGTTAGGTGATTTATTCCATTCCAACTCTACTTTAAGTAAAGGTTTTTATTTCCATACATGCTACATAATTATCTCTTAATCAATCCCTCCAATCAAAGCATAAAAATTGGTAACTGTTACATTCCTATTTAAAAAAATAAAAGATATGACATGTCTAAAAAAAAAGTATATTCGATGCATCAGAAATTGCAGAACGATCAATTGCCCTATATGCTGGCCGCACAATGATCAGCCGCCTACTCTTCACCGCAGAGGGCGAAAAAACATGGCCAGGGACACAGCGGAGACGACACAATCAATAAACAATATCTATTCAAAAATTATATAGTATATATACCTATAACTATACAAACAACAAAAGAAAGTACAAGTTCCAAATAATTTAAACCTTCTCTTTATGAATGCTCGTCTCATTTACCTGAGGTTCAATCACACTAGTCGCACGTACGTCACAATCATCCTATTACAAAACAAAACTTTAAGTTTAAATTCTACCAGACAAATAACGAAAGAATTATTGCTTCCGGATAAATATACTACATATATACAAAATATATACCACAAACATACAATATAATGTTTTTAACAATCAATACACAATATATATACGAAAAGTATACATTATTTATCTACCTCTCTTCTTTAATTATTTTTGTCGCCCCCTCCTTTGGAATTTTTACTTTCAAATTCACTGAGCTCCGTTTCATCCTGACAATCTTCAACTTCATAATCTTCATTGTCTTCAAGGTCAGATGACATCTTATGTTTTTTTGGGATGAACATCATTTTTGAGATTTTTTCGTTGGGGCCTACACACATCCGACGGTGGGTTCTGAAAATCGTCGTCGAAAATTGGCGGTTTGCAATCGCCGAGGCTTGCTTCTTCGAAAAACCGATAGACGTTAGTTATGGGCAGTTGAAAGAAATTCGGACATAATATCTCCTTAACTTAATAATTTCAGCATTATACCATAAATAAGAAAGGTTTTGACTTGGTAATACATTAATGGCATGATTGGTATAATGGAATGAAATTTCGTAGGAATGTAATAAATTGAAAAATGGAATGATTATGAGAATGGAATTAAACAAGTTTTGTCATTGATGCGTTTGGTATGCAGAAGGAATAAGACCTGAATAAAATAAAAATATTTTATTTATTTTTATTATAAAAATAAATAAAATATTTTTAAAAAAAATAATATATTTTTTATAAATTATATATAAATGATTTTTTTTAATAATATATATATAAAAATAAAATAATATATTTTTAAATTATATATAAAAAATAATATATTCTTAAAAGTAATATATTTTTAATATATAAAAATTAATATATTTTTAATAATATATAAAAATAAAAAGTAATATATTTTAAATAATATATATTTTTAATATTTTTTAATAATATATTTTAAAATATAATATATTTTTAATAATATATAAAAATAAAATATTAAATTATATATAAATGCTTTTTTTTAGTTTTATTTTTATATAAGTATTTAATATATGTAATGTTGATACCCAATTTGGCTCCAATTAATTAAACAATAAATAAAATAATAAAGGACGGCCCATAACCGAGGAGCCGAAGATACGAAATAAATAAATATACAAACAGATTCTCGATACCGATCAAATCAGAAGCCGCCTCAGATAGACGTCGATCGAAGTCGTCAGAAGTCATAGGCGGGCCCCACAATGATTATCTCATATTAAATAATGATGTACCATTTTTTACTTATTTAGTTGCCCACTTGCAAAAGAGAGAGGGGTATATATATGTACAAATGAGGAGAGAGAAGGGGTGATTGGATGACTTCTCCTCATTTTTTCTTCCCCCATCAACAAAGAGAGAGAAAAATCCTCTCAAAATAATAAAGAGAAAAACACAATTTTCTTGACATTTTTCTTCATTTTTCATACAAGAAAATCGATTACTTTTCAATGGTTGATCGTCCGATTTTCGACATCAACATCTAATTAAACAATAAATAAAAGTAAGTTTTCAATTTTTTTATGTGAATTTTATTTCTTAAAATAATTTTATTTAATATATTTTTATAATGATTTATAATATATATTATATATTTATTTTTTATTATTACTTGTTAATTTTATTTTTTTTTTAAAAAATTGATTCCAACACAAATGGGAATGAGAAAACCTTCCATGAACTATGGAATGACTAATCCCATGGAGATGTGTTTTGTCATTCCCTTTAGAATAGTCATTCTTTTCCAAAAAATATACTAATCATGGGATAAGGAATGAGTAAGGGAATGATCATTCCATTCTCATGTCATTCTTTCCTACCAATCATGCCATAATATTTGTAAATAAAAATAATTGCATAAAGGTAATTTTTTTTATTTATTTTTTTTTTCTCGGATTGAGTTGTGTAAAAATGTATAAAAATAATTGGGATACCATTTTTGTCTAGAAACAGCCTGTTCAACTTGTAGGAAATTAACAAAAGTCGGAAATCGGAATGTATAGGGTAGAATAATATGTTATTATAAGTTCTTTGGCCAAGTTTTACAAACACGTATTCAGTTTTTATTTTAACACTTTTACATCACCAATACTTGGTATAAATACCTACAAACTCTCACATGTACATACCTTTTTGGTATAAACACCAACAAACTCTCTCAAACTCTATTCCAAAGACTGAAAATCTGTTCTTCAGATTCATCAATTATCATATTTGGGAAAACAAGTAAATGTAGATCAGCCATTGCATTACTCTGAGTTTTTAGACTTTTTTTTTTTCAAACGTCAACTAAAATTAACAAGCTCAAATAATACAAAATCCGATTAGCCAACGGGCTACATATTTAACCCCTACAAGAAGAACAAGAAATCCATTTTACTCTATTTTTAGTTCTTACATACAATAGAATTTCAAGGTACTAACCAAAATTAGGCAAGAACTGGAAAAACCGCCAAACCACAGTTAGTACTGCATACGTCTAACTTTTGCAACCAGCAATAAAGATAACATTTTCACTCCTAACAACTAGACATGACCAAAATTGTAGATCCTGTCCATATCCACTCAAATGGCAATTCTCTAAAACTCAAGAAAGGGCCATAAATATAATAGCTGCACCACAGATACACCAATTGCAAAAGACAGAAATTATCAACCTATTATTCGTTGTTCAACAGCCACATCCCAAGGATATTCGACAGTTCTCAAACCCACCATACAAAGTTCCAAGAATAACACCAAAAGGCAAAAAATCAATAATTACAGGAACCACCAATCTAGAACAAACAAGCTTTCACAATTTTGGTCCCCAAAATATCAAACTTCACACCGATGACACGACATGACAAAAAATAAGAAAGCAACATAGCTAACGCAAATAAAAATAACATGGAAACATAAAATTAACCATCTTCACGTCACATCAACTACATTCAAGTGTCAATGAAAAGAAGAAAAAGATAGGAATTAATTTCAACGACGAAATTCCATAGCAGTACGCTAGAGTTTTAACCTTAAGCCATGACATGACCAAATCCTTAGCAGCATATATAATATACTAATTACATTTCCGAAGGAAACAGAAATGTAAGTAAACAATGTTTTACTTTTCCAGCTAAACTGCAAAAGCAAGCATTGAGTTCACTTGGCAACAACATTTTGAGATTGAGTGTCCTGCTGTTGTTGATAGTTTAAAGGCCTCCTAAAGAGCATAATGTGCGGTTCTGGCCGGTGGATTGCATAGTGGACCCACCCACGGCTTTGCTGAACACCAATTCCTCGCCATTCATTCTGCCGAATGATAAATTAGAAAATGGAACTAAAAATTAAGAAAAAAACACATTACACATAAAAAAAGAGAGGACAAGAGTTATAAAAGATTCTTTAAGGGGAAAAAGACAACGGTTTCAAAAGGATCATTGAGGAAGTTACTGAACTCAATTGTTCTAATTGAAAAGAAAATTGATATTCCCCCGGACATAACAATGAAAAGCTCCTTACATGATATTTACAATTATACAAATCCTGAAATTGAACCGAGTTGAAGAAATATATTTGGTAAATCATTGTTAGAAGCAATCAGTTCAAATAGCCCACAATATATGATATTCTGTATGAGATCCTCAGATAATCACAAAACTAAACAATGTGGACTTTGACTACATTACATAGTTTGGTATAAGAAATTCTTCACAAAATCACCAAGGATTTAGATATCTGCAATAATAATTCAAGCATTGCATATAATTAATTTATGACTTGGAGCAAGCAATTTACAGGATCTCTCATTTATGAAATTCACACATACCAATGAAAACAGTAAACCCTAATCCTATCGTATTAAAAAAAACTGCATACATTTTGTGAATTAGTAAAACTTAAAAAACTGCTAAATCCCTAAAATGTAAGATTGAGTAGGAACTCTTACTTCTGAGAGAAGGCGATTCTTGGGAAGCAGTTTGGCAACATCCGGAGGAAGAACGACATGCCTGAAAACCAAAAAAAAAAATATTTACATTCATCGAGAAATTAAGTTACATTTCCAAATAAATTATAAAAATTTGGGAAGAAAAAAACTGGCCTGTACTCGTAGGTATCATCAAAGTATTTGTCAGAATACTGAATCTGACCCATAACGGATTGTCTACAGCCGCAACTTTTTGTAGCAATGGAACTTGTTCTCCGATGAGCAAGTTAGTGAAAAATAAAATCAATTTTGTTCCCAAAAGAAGAATGAAAGCAAAAGAACAACAAATAGTGACAATTGAAAGGCCACGGCAATTTAGTGGAGAAAATGAAAAGGGAAATATGTATTTTAGTTGAAGTTTTTCTCTGTGTTTTTGGTTAATATATTAAATTAAATAGAAAAATCGTTTATTTAACTTTCAAATGTCGAAAGAATCCCGCTTTAGTTAATCTAGGAAGTTGATTTATCCGCTTATTTTTTTATTTTTATTTATTTATATTTTTTTTTTTATAAATCCCTCCAATACTTTATACTTTCTACGAGGAAATTGTAAATTTGGTCTTATAACTTTGACTGTTTCTCACATTTAGTCCCACGCACGCAATTTGTGATTCTTTTTTATTTTTCGTTGAAAAAATAGTCTCATGTCCGTTAAGACTTACGAGGCTCACGTGAAGACGTTAGATTGGACCAATTTGTCAATTTTGCAATTTTTCAAAAAAAAAAATAAATGAGTTTTTTAAATTCGTCAACAAGAGAAGTCAAATTATTTTGATGTTTTAATTTATTTTTTTTTTCAAACGATAGATTGCTCATTAAGAAAGGCAAAACCAATACAAAGTCTTACAAGCGGGAAAACCTCGAAACAGCCGACATGAAACTGAGAGCAACACATAGGTGTGCTCAACCAACCGACCAGAACAGGAATTTGAAGCTAGGAAAAACCACTAAGAACTTCAACATCCTCAAACTAAAAAAATAGAACTAAAAAGCCAAACAACTAAAGAACTAGCAAATGAACACATCAAACCTACAGCAAAAGAAAAACAAAAAGGAACACAACAGGAAACAGAGAAGTCAGAAGGACTTTAGGTCACATAACTCCTGCCACTCCAGCAGAGCTCTTTTGGCCACAGAGTTCACTGGCATTTTCTCCTTGCTAAATATCTAGAGATTCCTCGATCGCCATAACCACCATAGGATATAGGTGGTGAGCTGGATCCTAGCTTCTGAGACTTCTGTTTTGGGAATTGAGCAAACTTGCCACCACCAGTTTTTGAAGCTACAATT